TCATTTTAAAAATTTTATTTATTCTTATTTAAAATCAGAGTATCCGTTTTAAAGAATAATATTGCGGATTTTTGGTCCCAGAAAACATGTTAAAAATATTATCAAAGCATTTTCGAAGAAATGTATTTTGTTTATATTAAAATATTGGGATGTCATCGACAATACCGAAACATAAGCATAAACAGACCTTGCATTCATTTACACTAATGATTTACATCTCCTTTAATCTCTTAGTGTAATGTATCTTCGTATCGACATCTGTGATACAAATAAATGAGTGAGTCAGGTTGGGAAACCTGGTGAGTACATAGGGTTTTCAACCCATAATAATATAATTATTATGTTTAATCATCAAACAATTAACCCAACTTCCCATCCCTATTATCTTCTTTATTCTTAAGGATCTACCGTAAGAATCATCTATTCTTCATTCATTCGTTCCCAAGGATTGTCTTAAGGAAAAGGCCGAAGTCTATCACTGTCAGGGTTTATCCACAAGCACAAAGTCTATAGCTCCGATGTTATCTATTAGGCACTAAGTCCATAACGCAATTATTGTTATATGATTAGGAACTAAGTCCATAGCTGCCAATGATTCATCTATAGGGCACTAAATCCATAGCTGTCAACGTTCACTTATAAGTACTAAGCCCATAGTTACCAGGGTTTTTAGAGTACATCTGGTGAATGTTGTTCACAACACCTACAGGTTGCGAGCCGCTAGCGTTCACAAACACCTATAGTCTGTGGTCGTCATCTATACTCTACAAGATGACTGGATCATCGTTAAAGTCAAGGCTTCTCATCATCTTTCACCTCTCATCATCTATATCATCTTTCATCTCTCATCATTCATCTACCCATATTTACCCAATATATTTATAGATATAAAAATACATATATAGTTTAAATTATGTAACACATGTATAAATCGTTCATCCGACATAGATATCAAGAACACAGATAATAGGCACATATAAAACTAATTTATATTAATACTTCATATCTATATGTAAGATGAAAGTAACTATGCACTCACTTGTTAAAGTGATGACTCAAAATTCGGACAGCGCTTCCTTCTAACAATCGTCCTTTTCCTTCGACGAAACCTAGCATTATTATCACTAAGTTTTTGTCTAATATTTTTGCGAACTAATTATTATTCTAGATTTGTCATTAACTCCAAGTCTACTTCACGATCTATCAAGTAAGGAACAACCAGGTAGGATCATATCGAGGTAGGGTTCCGTTTGTATACGAAGTACTGTTTGGAAATCCCACTTTAACACCTCACTAAAATCACAACCTAGACATCATCCCTGTAAGTAGATCAATCGGTATAACGACTTGGAATCACTGATAAATCTTGTTTATAGGCTCATAATAATGGATAATGAACTTAAACATAAGTTATACTTAAAATAGGGTAAGCATAACTCACTAAGGGGGGTTTAGCGAAAACCGGGCTCTACGCGTGCAGAACTTCTGAGACGAAAGCTCTTCTTCTCGGGCCTTCTGGCACTACGGGACTCGCTTCTAACACCTAGGAGGTGTTAGGGAAAAACTTAGAGGGTCTGGGGGTATTTTGGAGAGAAGTTGAGAAAAAGGTTGAAAAAATGAGAAAAATGACTCTATTTAGAGGCTGTCAGATCGAGTTATGCGGTGCGTAATGTTGATGTACTCGGGGTGTACTCGGTATGCGGGGTGTACCAGGCCTTACACTGGGTGTACCGTCGGCACGTGTCAAGATCGCATGCGAAGCCATGGGAAAAAATGGTGGGCTGAGATTGGCCACGTGTCAGCCTCACATTTTAACCCATAATTTAATTATCTTCTAAATTCCGTAACTTTCGAATACGAGCTCCGTTTTTTACGTTTTTTAATATCCATACGTAGGTATTGACGTGATATACAACTTTCGTGTAGACTCCGTCAGCTAATATTGACTTTATTTTTAAAGTTATATTTTAACAGACTTATACAGGTAAAGTCCGTTAAAAATTCATAACTTTATCATTCGAAGTCCGTTTCGTCTGTATTTATATCGTTGAGATTCTATTAAAGAGATCTTCGATTCTCGTTTAGATTATGTCGGCTAAATGATCGATCTAGAATTCGATTTCCGGACTGCATACTGCTATGCTAAATTTTAGAAAAATCATAACTTCCTCTAACGAATTCAGATTTGGACGTTCTCTATATGCACGCTCTAGGTTTAACGTATACTACGACTTTCGTTTAGATCGCTAAGGCTAAAAAGTAGTTTATCAAAAATTCACTTTTTACGATACGCGACGTTGTGTCGGTTTAGTCGTAAAACTTCGACGGGTCATAACTTCTTCGTTATAAGTCGGATTTCAACATTCTTTATATGTACGGAATTCTTATGACATATACTGTACTTTGGTTAAGACTATTTATTCTAAATAAATTTCTATCAAAAGTCATTTTTAACACTTATTATCTCTAATTGACTAGCCCGATTCTGCGGGCGTTACACGACTAGTCCCTACTCGCCATGCCTATGGTGGCCTAGTTCCACGCCATGAGGAACAGTCTGATTAGCATAACGAGTTAAGCTGCTTTTAACTCAATTCAAAGGCTCAAAACCCAGATCTACTCCTTCTCAACGCCTTAATGGATAAAAGTTTCCAACTTTATCCATTAAGACACTTCAATAAGACAAGATCTCTTATCAAAGGTCTAATAAATGGAAAATCATGACATGGGCTTTACCATTAAGCACTTTTCCTCAAAGCCTTTAGTCCAACCAACTCTAGAGGAGTTTCTAATACCAGATCTAATAGAATTTGGGTGCTTTATAGACATGCTGACCATTGCATTCTAAATTCCATTTTAGTGTTAAATGAACAAAAGGTGATCCAAAACTCATGCAAGGCTAAGAATCCCAACCAAAGTCATCTACAAGATATTGCTCATAGGACTCAAGATAGTCATAAAGTTGCAATCTTTATACACTTAAACCAATCAAACATCACTTATGGAACAAATAAGCTAAATAAGTTAGATCTACAACCAAAGAAGCATCAAGATGGAAACTTGAGGACTTCCAATGTCCCAGAGAGTGATTCGGAGGGAGAGTTTTTGCTTGATCTTTGGGCTAGCACCTTATCTCTTGCCTTCAAAATGCAACCAACACCACAACTCAATGTCACACAAGGGGAGGCTAGGGTTAGGGTTTCTGGTCTTGAGAGGGTGATGGAGGCTGAAATATCACGAAACCTATCCATATGTCCTTTATATGGGGCCCAAAGCCTAGGGATTAGGGTTTCTCCACATCGGCTGCCACGACATGGCACCCATTCCACGCTGTGGCGGGTCATTTCATTTAATCCGCGGTCAATAGAATAACGTCGCCCGTGGTGAGCAACACGTGGCCGCCCAAAATAAATTTTGAAAATAAATGCATAGACCCATTTCTGGGGGGGGGTTGAAACGTGGGGTTTGAATGTTACAATAGTCAATAGTTTTATGTTTAAATTAAACCAATTTAATATATTTTTTTTAATAAACTAAAAAAAAACTTTACAATTTAATTAGTAGACGCAAATTGTCTCGTGCCCTTGATGACTTTTAACTATTACATTGAAAACTAGAAAAAAGTTGACATAATATCATTTCTAATTAATAGCAACAAAGTTGTTGGTAGCCATAATTAGATTGCAAATATACTTTGTACGATACTATATCAACTCTTTTTATTACCAACTATAGTTTATAAGGTATACGTTTAAGAAAATAAATGATATCTTGTCATATCTGACAAATAAACATAGCTATGCTATCAATAACGCCTATATTGATGTTATAGCGTTTATCGGAGCTACAAACCACTATTTCAAAATAGTGTTACGAATACGGATATGATATAGCGGCGCTATTGAGCCTATTTACCGCGATACACATCACTGCTAAGCGACACTACAACCGTTTGCACTTTCGTTCACAGTTTGGCATTTTGGCTACTCGACAATACTAGTTATGTGTTTTTCCCTTTATTCCTTTCTTTGTACACACACACACTTGGACATACAGTTTCAATAGTTCACAATTATAAACTGGTGACTGTCAAATGCTTCAATCACTGACTGTGAATCTATGTTAAATTTAAATGTGATGTTTTACTTTAATCATTAATGTTAAATTTTCTCTTTCATTGTTGTCACACTTATGATCTCGTTAATTATGAATTTATGAACAATCAATACAATTTATGAATTTATGAAGCATAGAAGCAATCAATCATCTCACTCTGAGATATGTTATAGCCTTTAGAACATAATTAACGAATTTATGAAGTTATAGTTTTAAATTCTTAATTTGTCAATATATCATATATGTTTATGTAATATAATAATAGTTATATCTAATATATAAATATAATATGAAATTATAAATTATACTTATATTAAAAACCGTTATACCACTGAAATAACCTTGATTTTAAAAATAGCAGTATTTGACGACCGATATTAAAAATTTTTTGACAGCAATAAGTATATAAAACATTGATAAGCAAATTTAAAAATCGCAACAGTTGCTTTCCGAATTTGATTCTAACCACAAACAAACTTTTGAACAAAAAGAAAAATGATTAACAATTGACCTTAGATATTATTACTTTTGATGTATTGTTACAAATCTTCCTTCGAAGATGAATTACTACATATACTAGTAAATCTTGATACCAACTACCAAATAAACCTCTTTTCTCTTCTTTTTAAATGATACAAAAAGAAATAACAATCTTAAAACTACCCTAAATATAAACAAAATTTAAACATTTTACAAATTCACACCTCCATTTACTTTGGGTTGGGGCAAGGCAAAGTGGACTATTCGTACCCTTCTTAAAATTCTTATACAAAGCTGTATCAGAGTACACAGCTCGTGACCTCATTGACCTTATCCTGTGTTTATGCCTAGGACCTTCTTTTCACCTTCCCGCCCGCGGCATGTCTTTCTCCTCACAACCACCACTACCTCCGCCTTCTCGCCGGAGCTACTACTCCCACTCCTACTCCTACGAACATCCTTAACTCCCTCTTTCTTTCTTTTTCAACACCTTTCTCTTTCCTCCTTCTTTCTTTAGGAGCATTACACAACGAACCACTTCCAAATCGTCCAACTCCAGTATATGTTCCAACGTCTTCACCACTTCCGTCATAGGCAGGTCGGCATTTCGGGTGGTGGCTTAGACCACCGGCTAGCCAACGCCGCCGCCTTCTTTGCCCCTTCACCGGAAATGACCATCGAGTTTAACAATCCATATTCTATCAAGATTACTCGAATCTTTCAAAGCGGTCGTCCCATTCCACTAAACACTGTTCTCGATTTGGTCGTTTTTTATCCATCGATCTTTTCCCCCCGTTAATAGCTCTAACAAACCACCCCGAAGCTGTAAACGTCGCTCATGGTGGTCAAATGACCGGTCATGATATACTCCGGCGCCCCGCATATCCTGTGTTCCCCATGAAACGTGTACTCACGTGCGTCTCATCTCCCTTCTGGTCCTCTTTCGCTAGCCCAAAATCCGATAGTTTAGCAGTATAATCCTGTTAAAACATATAGAATCAGAAAAGAGAAAAGGAAAAAGAAAAAGATGATATAAAGTTATTATAAAGATCGATGAACAAAATTAAGAAATTACCGATGCTAATAATATTCGAAGTTTTAAAGTCGCGGTAAATGACGGGTTTGTCCTCGGCCATGAAGAAAGGCGAGACCTTTTGCCGCACCAAGTGCTATTTGAATCCGGGTCAACCATGGCAATGAGATTGAATACCCTGAATTATATATAAATAACAAGATCTTGATTTATTGTGCATAATTATATCTAAAAGATTGAAACTTTATAAAGAGATTAAAAAAAATTACTTCTGAATAATTGACTTTCCAATTGCCCCTTGTCATGTATTCATAAACAAGAAGCCTGTTTTCTTCTCCTCACAACAATAACCAATCAACTTCACAGATGAGGATGCCTCAATTGCCCCAAAAACGTCACTTCAGTCTATAAAGTTAATAAAAGAATCCAAAATCAGTAAAGATTTGATAATAAAAGAAGAAAAAAAAATGGTTATTTATTTATATGCTTACAAGCCATTCATTGTGGCCTTGACCACCATCTAAATCCAGAGCTTGACGGCAACCGGTTGAGCCTCTAAACCCGTCTAAGTTATCATCTATAAAAACCCTTATGAACCGTTCCGAACCCACCTTCAACAAGATATTACTAGATGCGAAATCATGTGTAGCATCGTAAGTTCCGCCATAGTGAATTCATGAAGGTCCCACCCAACGATAGAATTCGAAAGTCCATTGATGATGGAAAGTGATGAACTAACATCGGATATTGATCTCTGTGAAGTACCCGTTTTTAGAAACAAGAGTCTGTGGGTCTAAGCGAATGTGTTTGTTTGTGAAACAACCGAGTAGAATGGTTTTCCATGCGTTGGGTTTTCTTAGCCATGGGAGAAGAAGAATGTGGAATAATGGTGGTGAAGGTTAGGAGTATATGTAGTGTGATTGTGAACCGGCCGGTTCAGATGAGGGGTAATCTGGACAAATTAGGAGGTGAGCGAACCAACTATCATTTGAAAAAGAGAGATAGAATTGGTGGCAACAGGGTTTTGGTTAGAAGATTCTTGGAACAAAACGTCCTTTAAGGATAACTAATCACTTTTTTCTTGCAGGCTTCTAGCACCTGAGTATATATAAACATATAAATTAGACAAAATTACATAAATGGTCCCTTATCATTATAAAATGGACCAAATATAGTTCCTATGTATTCTTTGACAGGGTGAGATATCCTGTGATTTGAAAACGTTGCACCGATAAGTCTTTTGGCTATCATTGTTAGAATATAAAGCTAAGTACTTGTGAAATTACCAATCTATCATTCATTTATATATTTCTGGCTATTATTACATTAGACTTGGACAACCACTACACCTAACGTGCCCATCTAATGAAGCCTACAACTCTTTTACGACCTTCACTGGTCAAACCAAAACAATCTCATAATCAAAGTCCGATTTCAGAAATTATAACAAAAAATGTGGAAACTTAGCGTTGCAAAATGAATGTTTGTTAATTTCAAGTGTGTCTGTCTCAGATCAATTTATTTGTTGGTTTGTTGTAACCTCCCAAAATACAAGGTAAAAATTTCGTTTTTAAATCAAACAAATCATTCATTCATTACTTCAAGAAGACAGAGTATCGAAAGATGTTTCAGAATAAAATCAGAGTAATAACAAAATCCATAAGTGCGGAATTTCCGGTGGATGCGATGCAATCATGTCGGGCCCTCCCTTTGAACCAGAAGTACTTGAAACATTTTAACATAAAACTGTAACCACAAAGCTTAGTAAGTTCCTCAAAATACCACATACCATACATATTAGTGGGCCCAGCCCTAGGGCTGTATTTAATAAACACATGTGAATGTTATTGTAAAATCCAAAATCCATAAGTAAAAATTTCATTTAAATTCATCAATCCAACATCACATGTCCTCGAAATCATCCAATACAATCTATCACAAATATCAGAGTAACAGAGATCAGAAAATGCGGAAATCATGAAGGGGGGGGGGGATGCTCTGCCATCATACCGGACTCTTCCCTTTTGTACCGGAAGTACCTGAAACCAAAAACATATCTGTAAGCATAAAGCTTAGTGAGCTTCCCCAACTAACCTCATACAACCTCAACACACAAGTAGTATACATCACGTGGCTGGGTCAGGTCCGTAACAAGCTCGGGTCCGTATCACCCTATGTAACAAAAAATAGTTGTGTCGAGTCTGTATCAACATCGAGTCCATAATGACTCTGAGTCCAAATTGGCTCCATGCATATCATACAGTCGCAAAAGTAATAGTCACATAAGACATACACCCTACACATACAAATCAGTGGGCCGACTTTGGTGCTTTCGACCTACTAGTGTGCTAAGAAGACTCACCTCTAACTGAAGATAACTGAATCGCACACTCGAACTGCTGCTAACACACGGCTCTCAACTAATCATAATCCAATAACAATCCCAATTAATAATCAGTATTAATCCATAAATGAAGGCCTAATTCATCCTTTATCTATCTAAGGGCAAAAGAACATTTTGCCCTTCCTATCCACGACCTAACTATACAAGGCCCCCAAACTCCTAGGGCCCAGGCCCAAAAAATGGCCCAAATGGGTTTCCTGGTAGTACGCCCTACGTACCACTTATTACGCCCTGCGTACAACACTTGATGCGGAAGGATTACGAGGCAACGATCCAGTACACGCGGCGTACTCAAGGTTACGCCCCGAATTACTCTTCAAAAGTCTAGACCTTTATTAAGTCTTAATGCTTTAGACTTAACGTCCAAATTCATATCTAGCTCCAGTAACGTTTAAAATCATAATTTCAACCATTATGCCTTGCATGGCTACAGGAGGAGCCCAACACCAAAAACTAACTCATATTAACCATCTAAAACTCCATAACTCTTGCATGGAAGAATAACATGTCCAAGCTTGCATTTATTACACTAAACACTCTAAAGTGCCTGAAAAGACAGCTCAAAAGCTCTGGAGTATTCCATACTCACAAAGATCAAGATTTTGGGACAAAAGAACATAAATCTAATCTTAAACAATATCTATCAAGCATCATCAAGATTTCACTCTATACTTCCTAAAGATGCACACAGATGAGAAGAATCTGGATCCAAAGGCTTAAGAGCAACACCACCACAACTCGAAAGGCTTTCCTTCACCACCAAGAACACCAAAATATCACTAAAAGCTTCATTTTTTGCACACATGGATTAGGGTTTCAAGATGGAGGCTAAGAGAGATGGAGGTTGGAGGTAGGAAAGGGTTTAAGGCCATAAAGTGATGGGTTTTGAGCATAACTTACAAATCCTATGTGTTCATGCAACCCTAATGCTTTGGATCTAGGTTTTCACTAGTTGAACATGAAAACTTTAATACAAAATAGAAACCCCAATATGCATCTATAATAATAGAAATTAACCTAATACTAGGGTTTAGATACATACCTCAATTGTTATATAGCAATAACAATTAATCCTTTTAGATCTTGAACTCTTGAGAGCAACTGCCCAAATGTGACACCTCTAATGGCTTACAACACTCTTTGCAAGAGGACGAGAGGAGAGAGGAGGAGATACACCAAAGTTTCGGCTATGCTAGGGTTAGAAGCAGTGGGGCGAAAATCCAAAGGGTTAGGCTCCTTTTATACTTGAGGTTGCTTAGTCCCAAAGCTAGAGTTTTGCAGATGGAAACCCTAATTGCATGCTTAAGGCCTAAGCAGCCCATGGACTCCTCATTTAGAAGCCTTGGACGAAACTTATAGGCCTCCCTATAATGTTTCTCCATTCCTATCTAAGGAGTCCAAGAGCCCTATTCACAACTATCAATTAAGTGCAAAACAACCCCTATACTTTTAATTAATTCCTTTAATCCCAAAACTAATTCCAAATTAATTTCTGATTAATATTAATGAAATAACATGATTTATAATTAAAAAAATTATTTCATAACATATTAATAAACATTTATATCAATTTATTATGACAAATAATAAATTCAGCTTCTCTCCAAAAGTCATCCTGTCAAGTTGGCAAGAGTGAAGGCAACCCAAAATGACGGTGCTCTATCAATTCAAGCATATACCATATAGTGATGGGCTTAGACACCTAATCCAACATAAAATTCTTTAAATAGGGTCCAAACCCTAAAAATTAGGGTTTTCCCTCTGCATGCGTACACACCAACGTACGCCCAACGTACGTGAGGGAATCCGTACCCATCTTTAAGGACCTACGCCCTTTGTACCCATCTCTACGCCCAACGTAGGGACCAATTTTGCAATATTTTTAATGAATAATGCTAAAATAAAATACCTGGAGCACTAGCGTTACAATTATGATCCAACATAGTCCTTACAATCACTTCCATTGCTACAGTCCAACTGCAGTCTTTCCTGCCATAATCCAACCATGGTATTCCATACAAGTTGTTGATCCAACAACAGTATTTCATACAAGTGTTGTGATCCACCATAGACTTTCATGCAAGAGTCACAGATGTCTAGCATCCTGCGTAATATTGAGAAAAACTCACCTCTATAAACGCAATTGACAGCTAACGAGCTCTCACAGTCGAAAAGCGGTTGTTACACACCTCCTTTTGAATCATACAAGGTAAATCCTTGTTTACCTTCTAAAACTAGCAATTGACCAAAATTCACCAGGACAAAAGTCAATGGTCAATTGACCTCCTCGTTGTGGCCAACCATGGCCATGCCATGCTACCACAGCTTATCCATGATTAGAATATTCTACCATGGCGTGTACAACATGCCACTACAACCCTGGAAAGTCCAGGCAAAAGTCGCGAAACCCTTCTTCGCCACATCATGGTAACCTCTTTACAATGTTGTGGTTTACTGCAATTTGGACTACTAAGGATTTAGTCCTTAATTTGCTAAGCCAATTGCTCATACTTCGAGTAAGCTTCTTTCTTTGGACCCTAGTGGTCCAAAAAATCCAAACTTTATAGACATGCATGACCCATGTATGTCCTTCACCCAACTAGGTCAAAGATGAGAATGACCTAAATCACATGCATGGCTCTTAAAAATCATTCAACTTCTAGATCTAGAAGATATAGTGACCAAGGGACCAATTAAGCTATAAGTTGCAAACCTTATCTCATAAAACAATTCCAGACACAAGTATGAACCCATAAATGAAACCAACTAGATCTACTAAGAAGGAACCAAAAAAGATCAAGTCTTGAAGTCTTACAATGGGTCCAGATAAGTGATTCAAAGATGAGAGGAGTTGCTTGCTCGATCCTTGCACCAAAACCTTCTTCTTTTTTCCTTAAAAGTGCACCAAGAAACTAGAATGAGTCAAGAACTTCAAAGGGAGGATATGGTTACTCAAAGATGCTTTGGGATGTGAAGAGGCTGGGGTGGAGGAACCCTAACCATCACTTCCTTTAAATAGGGCCTTAAGAACAGAAATTAAGATTTTTGCACATTACTATCACCACATCGTGGCAAGCATGCTGCCACATTTGAAGGGTTTTGAGCATTCTAACACTCCTAAGGTGGTACATGCAACCCTAAAACCTTGGATCTATGTTTTTCTAATAATACATGAATTTTTTTTTCCAAGGTTCTTAACTATATAGCATACATGGAGAACATTTAAACATAAAAGTTAGTAGGAAATCTACCATTGTAGTAGTTAGATTCCTTGAAAACCTTGTGAGCCTAGCACCTCAAGTGTGATGCCTCAAATGTCTCAACACAACACCAAATGCACTTGGAATAACTTAGAGAGAAATGATACACTTCTTGAAATCGCTAGCCCTCACTTGTATGCTTAGTGGCCGATTTTTGGTGAACATAAGGATGCTTATATAGTGTGTTACAATTGGGTTACACCATGTA